ATTGTTAGCCCCAGTAGGAGTAGCGCCCAGCCGGACAGTAATAACAGAGGACTGCCCCGGACCCTCTCTTCTTGCTCCGCACTAAGATCAGGCTGTCCTCTCCTTTATTCTTAATATGGTATATATATAAATCACTGCGCCGCTCCCCCAGCGCCAAAACCCAAGATCAAGTCCAAGCTCTAACCGCTGAATTGAAGAGGTAAAAGCACAAAAATATAAAAAAAAAAAAAAAAAAATAATCTTGGAAAGGCTTCGGCACTCTTTTTAATTTTTGTTTCTTATATTGCTTTTATTCTGGCCATGTGTTCCAATTGAGCGAGAGCCGGGGGCGTTCCAAAACGGGGGGGGGGGGGGGGGGAGATCCATTCATTGTTGTATCTGGCGTCGGTCCGCATGGGCAGGGAAGATGCAGCAAGTTCTATAGGAGGACGACTTGCTGGGCGTTGTTCTTAAACAGCAAATCCTCTTCCGGCAAATTCCCAAGGAAGCAATGCTTGCATGGACATTACCGCGTCAGATCTCGTAAACCCGTAAACCGGCCGGCCACCAACGGTTGGTTCGCGCCATCGGTAACAAGTACTGCCCACACGGCTCGTTCAAAAGGGAAGAGTCTCCATTCCACCCTGCCTACCATGCGTAAGAAGAGGAGGGTAGCAGCAGATTAGTTCCACTTGCGGAGAGAGACAAGGCGATCAAAACATGGCAGCTATCCCGTCCAAGGCCGTGAATGGCCATGTCTCTGCCACGCTAAAAGGCTCAAATCTCAACTCTGGGTACAAGTACCAGGGCATAGCCGCCAGGATCCCACTGCGAGACGTGCCAGGGGTAGCTGTTCTCTAGAAACTGGTTGGCCTGTTGAGGCGTCTCACGAGAGTTCACCTTCGTCCACACATGCCACAAACTGAGGTGATTTCCTGCGATCTCATCACCTTGTCAGTTGGCCAACGAGTTGGCTAGTTACCGTACCAAGTCACCCAGTGTACCCATTGCACGCCTCTGCGCCCACCAGCCTCGCTCGCAGCGACAGGCATTCCAGCCTTCGCCCTGCATGTTCTTCCTTGCGCCCTCAGATACGCAAAATCCGAGAACGGACCGGTCACGTGCATAGGGTCTAAAAATAGGTTCAACGGCCAAGGCTCGGCGTTTCTTTTTCCTCTTTTCGGCAGTTTTCGACGTCGAGTTGCATCTTCCATACAATCTCTCAGCGCTGAACCGGCCGTGAAGCGATATCAAACAGACCCGACTTGACGCCGCAGAGCGCAGGCAGAGGACGCAGAGCACGGAGTACCTGGTAGATATGCAGCAACGAGCAGAGAGCATCGACACGCCCAGCAGGAGGGCTGTAAGCGCCGGGGTCCATGTCACAGGGTGGCACGGCGCGTATCCACATGCCTAGGGGGTCTCTTATCAAAATTATCCCCAGGCTTGCATGCGAAGTAACGAAGTATATTGGACGCATGATATACGGAGTATGGCGAAGAGCAAGCAGTTGGACCACTCATGGCTCGCATGCTGGCTTTCATCCATGCATGGCTCCCCTGACAATCACACACCTTAGCCAGTCAGCTTGCATGAACCAGCCAAGGACGCTGCACCACTCGCTACATTTTGAGTTCGGATTCTTCAGGCCATCTGCTTGCCGATTCGCTGTTACAGGGTCAATGCAGGATCAGGACGGAGGTCAACCATGCCTGGTCCAAACAAGGGAACAGAGGCCTCCAGTCACCGCATCTGCGGTCTGATCATTGGCAGTAACCGCCATGGCTCCTCGCCTCCACCGATGCATGCATGGACAGACTCCTTCGTACATAGCCTTTTATATTTAAACTGGCCATGGCGCCACTGGTATCTCCATTCGAGAGATATCTGCAGAGCTATCAAACCATCTTACTTGCCTTTCGATCCGTCATTCTACATAAATCTATTTTTGACCTTCTCGGCCTGGGTTCTAAATGGCGTTCTGGAGCATTTAGCCGAGCGGGCTTCACACGTTCTTGCATCTGGGCACATACATATAGCCACCTTGACCCCTTGAAAAGCAACCTGGTCAAGCCCTGCAAACCCCTTGCCAAAGCCGTCGCGTCCCTCATATTTTAGACAGACTTCAGTTTTCTGAGAGAGATGAACACACATATCAGAATCTCTGTACATTTACTGTCGACATCGCTATTCGCGACACAGCTTAGGTGACCTTGGCTCAACGGGCAGACAGCGGTAGCGCAACTGTCGCGCATCTGCCGTACGCCTGTCATTGTGTCGTCAACGCCGCTGGACGGTGTCTGACGACTCCAACAGTTTTCGACGTGGTTCTTCTTGTTTATAGATACCCTCAACGATGCCGGTCATCGCTATAATATTAATCTGGCTTTATGCCTTGACTCTGATACCACATTCGGTGGCATACAACATTCCGATAGACCATATACTTAGTTCAAACACACCGACGGCCTCTTCAAGGTGGCAAGCTGACTCGCCGCAACCCTCTCCCGCTTCATCTCAGCGAAGGTCAACGATGAGTCCTCGGCCGGACGCTAAGTACGCATTTGATGAAGAACAGTTCAATGCTACAACCACATCGACATGTGAGGATGCATTAGGGAGTTTGAAATCAGTGTCCAACCCTTCCGGGATAGCCGCATGCTTCAACGTCGCATTTCTAAACGAAGAAACAAGCATATTCGGGGCCGATGTCAAACTATACTATGTCTCCCAGGCGCACGGAGAATTCACCAGTACTAAATGGGAAGATTTTAATATAAAACTGGGCTCGCGGCTTATAGAATTTTCGGGGATGAACCGAGTTTTTCAGAACACAACTTCAAATTCCACCACAGACTCGCCCTATCTGGTGATGCAGTGGCGGTACAGCGGCAGGGTAAACGAGATTATCCCACTAAAGAAGTTGTCCCTGTAAGTCTGTTCTTATTCAATTTCGATTTAGTGTAAAGAATCTTGCTAATGACCTGTCTACAGTGATGAACATCGCTATCTTCTCGCCCCTAACATATCAATCATAACAAAATCTCCGAGCCAGCCCAACACTATCACCGACACAAGCCTTGCTCCCGACATCCTCTCATATACTACTGGCTACTTAGCCAATGACGCCAACTCACCATATAATATGACGGCCTCTGAGGTCAAAACCCAGCTGACGAACATACTAATTGCAACCTTGGACTTTGAAGTACCCGGCATAGGCTTGGGTATATTCCCCACGGGCCTTGTTGTAACCAGTGTGTGGGCGGGGTTATTCCTAGCCATTGTTGGCTACGGAACATTCGAGCGTAAACAGTATCGCTCTTTTCATGAACGAAGGTTGAAATATGCTGCCTCTACAAGAGGGTATGGTAATCGGCCTGTTGTATCTTAGCTTTAATGACTTTACTGCAGAAAGAATATTTAATTAAAAAAAAAAAAAAATACTCATTAGCTACGTAATTATTATGGGGACTCTGTTGTGTTCTTTATTTATACCTTCTCATCCGTCGGTTTACCATATTTGTTTCATGATGATTAACTACCTATTATTTATATTACGGGGTTTTAAATAAATTTACAATTCAACGGAACAAACCAAGACACGGCACAAGCATTTGGGTTGGTATTTGAATGGTGTTTGATTGATTCTAACTAAACGTCGAGTAACTCCACGACTGCTACGGCGTAAAGGCGAAAGCCGGCAGAAGTATATTCGCGGGCACAATGCCATATATATTGAATATTTCTTGGACAAATGGTGTGTCTGTATCCCGCTGATTGTGTGTCTCCATGGCGTTCCCTTCCGAATATATAATGATTCATATTCTCCACCGGTAGGACCATGATTGTAGTGAAGGATGATCATCTCTTGCAGCGAGAACAAGTTAAAAGCGGAGAGAAAATTTCAATCAAACAGTCTCTGGGGTGGGACATAAGGAGCTGATATGGCATGAGATGATATAGGTCCTCATAAATCTCGACTTATAGCATAGAATGCTAAGAAGTTCTTCAGCAGACAAAAAGAGACCTGTTACTTCGACTCTGACGCATCAGTGTTTGGTACCGAAGTACACCCCCAAAGCCACTGCTGTCCCAAGGATAACAGCAACAACAAGCCACCAACATACACATTTGCTATCCGAACCTCCCCCTATCCATGACTTGGGGTTGTCATGGTGTACTCCCCAATAATTTGGTGTTGCGCTTACTCCCCATGTGAGCTGGCCCGTCCGCTGGCCCAGCTGCTGACCGCGGCTATCAAGATTGCTGGGAGTAGTTCTCCAAGATTGACCTTCCGCCGGAGGTCCGTTTAGAAATACCCTCCAGGGGATCGGACCATGACGACGCCAAGCAGACGAACCCGGAGGCAAAGGGGGGCGGTCAAGTATAGATGGGCCACGGTTTAAAGATGGGATCGGTACACGCGGCGGAACATAGTCAGGACCATGAACTGCTCCGTGGCTAGGCGTACGTGAGGAATGTCTATCTTCAGCCCTCAGCCTCGAGTTCATAATTTCTGGCACATCTCCCTGAGTGGCTCGTGAGTGGGAGCTTCGGTGTGCTCTTTGAGGTCGTGCTGGCAGCATTCGAACGCCATCATCACCGCTGCTTTCGGCCCTAGGGCGAGAGGAGCGAGATGAGCGTCGTCCTATTTCAGACCCGGCAGCGGACAAGTATGGCGGAGGACGAGAACTTGATTTATGTGAAGAGACTTCAGGGGCTAGGCGACTCGAGCATCTGGACCGTTTGCTTGTAGCGCGAGAGAGAGCAGGTAATTCAAAATTGTCTCTTGAAACCATGATTTAACGAAGGTATGTCTTCTTGTACTGTTTCGCCGTATATGTTTCGGTCCAGTAGGTATCGAGTCTCTAAGTCTAATAAATGGCAAAAAGCAAGAAGCCAATCACCAGCCGATCACGTATAATCAAGTCCACCGGAATCGAATAAGCCGGTGATCAAGCGGGGGTTGAGGACTACTGTATCTCATCTATAAGCCTTGCTCGTATCTGTATCTATTCTCGATTATACCGCTGAGGGTATGGAATTCTGAAGCCACGACCGCCGGGTGATATGTCTGAAGCAGGCCAACGATGCCGCGAGAATGAGTATAGATATTAAACGTCGTCCCTGTGATGAAAAGCCACGGAGTAGAAGGTTGAGAAGAACCGGCAGCAGGCTATCGAAAAAAGCTCAGCTTTTATACCATAATGCACCACGCCGGGCAGTGAACGCAAGACGAAGGGTAGGAGGTTATCGGCCGCAGGAGTGAAGCCATTAAATAGCTAACTCTAAAAGGACACATGGCTGCAGTCGAGTATGAGGGCGAAGGAATGGTACATTGGCAACCTTAGTGACGAAGGACCGGCGTTGTGAAGTTATTTATCGATGGCGGCGTGATACCTCACAATTCTGATACCACACGATACTCATCGTGAGTGGTATTGCGGCGGAAGCGGTTAAGTATAGAAGTGAAAATGAACCACCAGAAGAGTCATGACCGCATGATCAAGATCCAGGGATGTTAAGATATAATCGGGGATTGGTATGTCACTCCGGCGTAGAGAGGCGGGGTGAACAACCGGGATATATTGATAACGCTCATATTATAGATCTGATGCGGTGGAGCAGAAAATGGGTATAATTGTGACTGTATATATATCTCTGCGAGCTTTGGGCCTGGATATCCGTGAGAGCCGGCGAGTACGGGGTTTATATAGACTAGATTCCGCGATGGTGATGTTGGTGTAGTTGGTGATGAGTGATTGCTGGCACGATAGATGAAAAGTTTTGTTTGCTAAGGCTCTTGAAAACAAATATTTGTTAGCAACTGAGAGTGATATTGATTGCAAACTGAATACTTACTAGGTAAAGGCGCCAACTGTATATAGGCGGAAACCAGTATCACTCCCAAGATCACCGACCTGGAAAATAACAGCAGTAAATGGATAATAGATACTGAACACGACGTAATATAAGGTATATTCAATCATAGGAATATATATCAAACATGATGTACCATTTTAATCATTCAAGGCATATTGACTGATGGCCAGAAAGCACTGAGCATGAACTCCAGAAAAATTTGAAAGGGGCTGCGCCGGGTATATCCCATACATTTAGATAGTACACGAACAGATATAAAGACACGCTTGTAGGGCCAAACAGAGCCAGATACGAGCTTCAAATTTATGAAAAACCCACCGATGCAGATGCTGGGTATAATAAGAAAAAAAAAAAAAAATCACTCGCACATGTTTGTGGAAATGCCACGGAGTAACTCCAGCAGACAAATATGAAGGGAAAATGATGGGGAAAAAAACAAAAACCATAATCAAACATTTGGAATCAAGCTTTGAAACTATACATTCGGACTTCAGAGTCTTCGCTTCCAGTTGCCATGCGGCTATCACTCAGAGAGACGCAGGTAACAGGTCCCCTATGACCGGTGAACGTTCTCTCGCAGGTTCCGGTTCGGGGATCCCAGACCTTTGCCATATGATCTTGTGCACCAGAGACAAAGCGGAGGGTATCGGCAGCCAACCCCCAGACGCCTTCAATGTGTCCGAAAAACGTTCGGAGGCAGCGACCAGTATGAACCTCCCAGAGACGAAGGGTAAGGTCAAGAGCAGCAGTAAGCATATAGCGTGGTGGAGCTGGGCGGCCTTGGTCTTCGGTGAAGAGGGCCTCAAAAAGGGGAGACATGGGCTGCGTCGGAGGGGCGGAAGTGTTAGGCTGTTGGTCTGGTACGTTATTACTGCCATAGCCATGACTTTCTCGGTGGTCGGGAGATTCTGAGCCAGAGAGACGATCGCTTCTATCATCTGCACAATTTGACTGGTGTTTGAACTCGAATTCTCGTGGGAGTGGGAGGACCTGCTGGACCTGGCCTACATGTCCTGCATAGGTGTGGATACATTTACCCGTGTCCAAGTCCCAGATACGAACGGTGGTATCATCAGAAGCAGAGAATACAGTACGAGAAGCAGTATCAAGCTTAACTGAATTGACCCAGTCCGCGTGCCCGCGGAGGATCCGAGTGGACTTGTCCTGGAAGTTCCAGATCTTGACAGTGTTGTCCTTCGAACCCGAGGCAAGAGTTGTGGAATCAAAATGTAAACAAAGGACCCCACCTTGATGGCCAGTGTATGTTGATATACACTCTCCTGATCGCCAGTTCCACACTTTAATGGTTCGATCAAGGCTTCCGCTGATCAGTTTGGTATCGTCGAACTGCAGACAGCGGATAGTCGATTCGTGGCCCCGAAGCGTGCGTATCTCCTTGCCGGTCTCAATGTCCCATATCTTAATAGTAGCATCGTACGAGCCGGTAGCAAGGATATTGTCATCGAACTGTAGACACATGACGCCGTTTGTATGTCCCCTAAATATGGTGGTCGTGCATCGACCGTACTTCCAGTTGGTGCCAACTTTGAAACGATCCATATAGACTGCTTTCCACGGCCGGTGCTGTTGCTGTGGGCGTTGATTAGGAGCAATCTCCTTACCAGCCGCGCGCAACTGAACCTGGCGCTTTGTGTCCTTCAACCTTTTTCTATCAAGCATGGGGAGCCCCCACCCGCACTTTTCACATTTGCGGTCGATATGCTGCTCACACATGCGATGCCAGACAACGTCATCATCTGCAAGAGCCCGCCAGCTATGGGACACTTGAGCTGCACTGCATAAAGAAGCGGTATCGAGGTAAGACAGAATTTTGAAAGAGATCTCTGGTGGCAAGGCCGTCACGAAGTCAATGCGAATCAGGTCTCGAACACTAGCTGAGAGGAAGGAGAGTTGAGGGAAACAGCACTGCGCCACGATCCCCTGCAACATGAGATTGCGGTGCTTTGAAGGTGCAGCGGAGAACAAAGACCAAAAATGCGCAATGCTTTGTTGGTCATTCTGTGACAAGGTCGAGAGATCCTAGTAGACTAAGTCAGTACAACTAACTGCCTCATAACGTCATAGCCGTAAGTGGTATGCTTACTCTCTGCATCTGGTCAACTGTAGGCTCAACTGCCTGACGTCGACACTTTAGGTCTGGTCGGTGGCGATAGCAATATTTTGAATCTGCCTTGCGTCGCGGTAGGGATGAGTCTATCGGGGCAAATCTGTTCCTTGATGCATGCTGATCCTTGATGTGTTTGGTCAGGAAAGGAGCAATGTTGCCCTCCGTGCGGGTCGAATTGAAGAGAGACCTGGGTTCCGAGGCCGTAGATTCGGGAGTATCTGCTGTGCTGCACCCTTCTCCTGGAGTTCCGGCAGCCTCTGGCTCTGTGAGTTCTGGTTCAAGAGAAACCGAAAGCCGTCTGCGCTTGCGCGGAGACATCGTAACATCCCGGTCACAGGTCTCTTGCACAGCCGATTGTTCCGTCGGCAGCGTAGAGTTGTCCGTATCCATTTCGTTATCCTCTGTCCGCAGAATATCTGCTTTCGCGACGATCGTTGCTATCGTTATCCTGCCGCCTGGGAGTCTTGTCGTCGTTGGAGTGCGAGGACGGGAGGAGGTATTGGTTTTATAAGGATGGGAAATCGTGATATACCTTCGGGCCAAGGTTTGCCGAAACCCAGCAAGCGGGAAAGCTAGTATCCCGTTTCTCACAGTCCTTCGTGAAGACAAGGCTAAACCCGCCGGTCAAGGGGCGTCCGTCCGTCTGCTTTTTATATCTCGTCCTCTCGCCGCCACGTCGTCGCCGCGATGTCGTTTGCCGTCGTCTCTTTTGGCTCTTTTCTTTCCGCCTGCTTCGGGCGACAGTCACGTGTGGATAATTATATTATGTCAGCGGGATAATGGTCTTGGCGACCCTTCTTTTCACCGCCAAATGTATGTCACGTGATGTCCGTCATTCTGCCACTTGATCACGTTATTTTTTTTTCTTTTTTTGGATTTTTCTTACTTCGGCATTTCTCGACTTCAACGCTTTCGATAGTTGCAACTCCAGCTCGAAGGACAGACAGCGCGGCCGGCAAACCAAACGACCTTGGTCGCCTCACTATTTTGTTCGGCTGCTGTTACCGGCGGACGCTACCCTGCCCCTGCTAGCTCACAGCCGGCGAGTGTCGTGCTTATCTCGCGGCATCAGGACCCCAAATCACGGCAGGCTGGGCAACTATGACGTCCCCTGTCTTAAGAAGCTAGTTACTAGAGCCATAGTCTCGTTCTTCGCTCTGGTTGGCAAGAATACGCTGCCGCCTCTTGTGCATGTTTATACTTGTTGTCTGCGCTCCAGGACGAGCCTAACACTTGGTTGTTTCGTTGTTTCGGACGTTTGATCTGACTGTTGGTGTGATTGATTATTACTTTTATTTATTTGATTGATATATATTTGGTATGCTGATATATCATAAACCTACTTGATACCCCTGCAAAGAAGCAAAGATAACAATATGATGTCCTCAGCGGCAAGCTCTGCATCTTCAGTGCAGAGTGGGCGATCAGGAGGGACGGGGGCAAGCCCGTCTCATGTCCATGGCCATAGCTATAGCCCTGACCAAAGCCGTGCCCAGCCTGACCTGGATACGTTGGTGTCGCACCTTGCGGCTGCCAAGAGATCCCTCTCCTCCATCCACCACGTCTGGAGAGCCAACGAGATAGTCACTGCTGCCCGCGCCGCACTGGAGGAGAGCGTCATCGTCTCGGCCCGGACTGGCTTCCTACGTCGAGGCCTGGATGAGCAGATTCGTCTCCTCTTCAAGGTAAGGACGGAAGTAGAAGAAGTAGCCCACCGTGGCCGGGCCGAATTTTCTGCTGCCATCAAGGAGCTTGATACAGTCGACAGAAAGCTGCAGCAGACTCTCGACAGTCTGCGTGAGATCACTCTCGAGCCGGCTTTCCGTTCGCGGGAACAGCGGCAGGAGGAAGCAGAAAAAGGTGTATCCAAAACACTACACGATTTCATCGATGAACATGCCGTAGACGACATCCGGTCGCTACTCAAAGACGCCATCGACAACCTCAGCGCAGCGCAGACGGAGCTCGACGTGTCCAATCGAGCTTTTGATAATGATCTTCAGTCCATCCAGCAGGCTCTAGACAAGTACCGGCTTTCTGTCAAACGGGGCTCTGTCTCCTCCCTTAGCCTGTCTGCTTCTTCATCTGCCTCCCGTGTCAAGATGCCCACTCCGGCTGTGATACCAGAATTTCTTCACTCACTCGAGTTGAATGCGCAGGAGATGGCAGACCTGCTGGAATCATTGGTCCGCCACTTTGATCTATGCGTTACTGCTGTCAAGCATACAGAGGGAGGCGGGGTACTCGCTAGTAACATCACTGGAGACCTTCCCACTGACGTCGGTGTCGGAATCCGGGCCGGCGGGAACCCACAATCTAACACCGGTGATGGCAACATCAACAACGATGATGCTGGCAATCCAAATCTACAGCCGGAGCCTCTTACCGACTCAGACTACCGTGATATGATCAACGTCATCGTTAAAGATGCGGGCGAGGCAGAAGATGTCGTGCTCGAAATCCAGGACCGCATAGCTGAGATGGAATCTATCCTAGAAAGAGTGCTTGAACAGCGAGACTCGCTCATCGCCGCTGGCGTATCTACTACTTCTGTGTATCGCCGGCTGGCGGAGTTTCAATCAACTCGTCTACCAGGATACGTAGCACAATCCCATAAATTCGAGCAGGCATGGAAAACAGAACATGAACGCATGGAGTCAGGCGTGGCTGACCTGAACGACCTGCGAGGCCTGTATATGGGCTTCCTCGACGCATACGACGGTCTCATTCTCGAAGTTGCGAGACGGATGAGTGTTAAAAGGGCTGCCCAAGATATTCTGCACGATGCTCGGGCGAGGTTAGATGCATTGTATGAAGAAGATGTTCGAGCACGGGAGGCCTTCAGGATAGATCAGGGTGATTACCTTCCTTCAGATATCTGGCCGGGCCTAAGCATGCCGCCGAGCAGAGTTGTGTTTCAGAGGATTCGTGAGGATGATGACACTGCTCAAGAGAGCAGGGATGAGACGACGTCAGAGGCAAAGCCGGAATGTGTCGAGCAGCAACATCCCGAAGGCGATGTCCAGCCTACAACCAAACTGAACAGTAGCAGTAAGGGAGATTTTTGCGAGAGTATCCCTGACCTGCCCAAGCACGTCATAGAGCAAGCATTTGCCCGTCTTAATGTAAGGGGCACACAGCTCCCTCCATAGTCATATTCGTCCTCATCTCAACCTAACACACACCATATTTAATGTATCTGTACCTTATAATAATCAAGTCAAACACTGCTATAACGTGAATGTTCAGAGCAAGTTATACATGCCCTAAGAACTGCAATCAAAACAGATAGGCGTATATAAAATAACTTCCTGCACCCATCAGAGCTCTCTTTGATCCTCATACCGTTTCTCCCGTTGTTACTACCAAAACTCACTCTTTTATCTTGACCTGAAGTTCAACTTCGCCTCAACAGCCACCCATCTGACTCCTTACATCTTCCTCTCGCGCGATAGCCGCACGGGAGGAGAGCATGAAGCATGAGATGCGTGGACGCCCTGTCTAACGGCCAGGAAAGAAAATGAAGCATCATGACAGGACTAGAGCAAGAGAGAGATCCAATAGTACAGCCAGAGATACGCAGGTAGGATAATATGCCCGTGTAAGACAAATCCTTTTCCATTTTCATCATCTGAGTGCATGAGTTGTTTTTGCTGGGCAGGCAAGAGCCAAAGCACATGCATACATACATACATACATACCAGGCTTGAATCCGTTCTTTGGAACTGGAAAATTCCCCTTGAGCATTCTAGTTTGCCCTGTTTTGGTCGATCCTCAAACGGGACAGGATACATGCCGCGGACGGCATGCTATGCTTTGTGGTATCAAATCGCCTAGTTAGGTTGAACAAAAGAAGGAATAAGAGGCTTCCGACATCTTCCAGATCCTTGTTAGTCAATCCTTGATCGGCCAACAGACGGGATCTAAATGTCATGATGATACTCTGTACGGAGTAGGGATGTCCCTAACAACCCATAGTCGTCTCTCCGGCCTTTTGGCACCCCAAACTATGCAGAGAAGATTATTCGAAAAGCGCGGTATACTCCAGTCTTAGGACATGGTAGCACGGGGGCCATCGCTATTATCTTGTTGCCCGCCATCGAACCGCCTTCAGTCGTACAGAATTTTGAATTCCCCGGCCCTAGAAGACAATCGATCTAGCTTCTCTGCTTCCAGACATCATTGCCTTCCCATCTTGATCTTTTTTTTTTTTTTTTGCTTTCCTCACAGCAAGGGACGTCCCCTTTTTTTCCTTTTCGATCGGTATCGGGACGGATAGAAATTCATATGCTGTTGCTCATACTCTGTATCTGTCAACTTATGCATCTCTGTCCGCAAACTTCGATGTGGCCATAAAAATCTGCATATCCCATTAGCCCGAGAAGAAACCATATATTGTTGTCAATTCTCTTTTTATCTGAACTAACCTTGTCCAATGCAGACATGGATCGCTCAGTGCAGGAGGAGGCTTGGCCACGGCGTCTCCCTACAGCTGTTTGGTGGATGACTTGCCTTGCTTCAATAGCCTGTGGCCGATGGAACCTTCGATGCTCCCCCAGACTGGGCGAGGGACCGACCACAAGTGCCAGTCGACGGTGGCTCTGTTCTTTTTTAATTTGCAATCCGACTAAGGCACAAAAGGTGGATTATCGGGGTTCGCGCAGTCAACTAGCAGTGCAGGGGGGGGGTGACTGGCTGTTTATGTCTATTCAGAGGCTGATAACTGATATTCGAGGTCGACATGTCGCCGTGCGGCCAAAGAAGGTGATCAGGCCAGACAAATAGGCATGAGATCTTCCCATTGCCCCCGGCTCGCAGGGACGAGGTCGTCTGTTGAAAAAGACAAAAGTCGATGTGTAATATTCCATCAAAGCTCTGCGCTCCAGGGTTTCATTTTGGGCAACCAACAATTTAATCGCACCACAACACAACCATACAGCCGGTTTGTGATTTCCGGAGCCTCTTCCAGCAGGTGACAACAGCTTCGGGCATTCAAAAAGGACTAATTTGAGCCGGGCTTCAAGGCGCATTGCTGTGGCGGGTTGCTAGCAATACAGGCATCCCATGTATCGCCCTGTACCCCCATACTAACTCCAACGCCCAGGGGAACTTCACTAGAGCAGCCTGCATAAGAGGCACTGGCGCCTGAAGAGTTCACTGAGGAGTGCTCTGTACAACTCCCCCCAAAATGGCGCACTAGACCATTGGCTCTAGCAGAAGAAGGCTCGAAGGCGCCTGTGGCGATGGGCTCAGGGCGCGCTAGACGGGCTGTTAAGGTTGATGGATCCAACTAGCAGCGAACCCGCGAGAGCGCCGCCCATCTCTGAGGAAAAAACACAAACACAGCAGATATCATCAGGCTAAGCTCTTCGAGTTCGGAGCTTAATACCGCTAGATCCACGTACTAAGGACAGCGATGTGTGCAAGTATAGGGACCGATAATAAAATGTGTCGGTATATTGTTAGGTAGCGCCTCAACCAAGGACGGTTTCAAACCGAACTACCCCCTTTAATGGTTGGCCATTCGTCGGAGTCCGGCTCAGGGCCTGCACCATTCATGCCTATTTGTTTTTAATTTTTTTTTTTCTTTTTTTTTTTTTTTTCGTTCCGGTCGCCTGGAAGCGACACATTCGCTATCATATTCCGCACTGATACCCCCCCGCGGTCACTTTGACTGGCTGTTCCCCGGTGTGGCGAACTAAATATATAGTTGGAAAGATTGCCCCTGGACAGCTATACACCTCATCCCAGGGAATTATTTTCCGGCTATGCATACACAAATGATATGAGCACGCGCGGGCAGATAATCCTAGCAGTTTTTGCTTGCATCATGCAGAATGGGGCTTGATAGCTCAACTCACCTCTCTTGTTTCATCCTAGCAGCGGTGGGAAGAGTAGCCCAAACACTTTCTTCTACCCATTCGATCGAACATGAACCTTGGAAATCACCGCAGGAGAGCAATCTAGGAATAAGAAACGAATCAATGAGGCTTCTGACGCGGGAAACTCCAGAAAGATCTTCAGGATTTTAACGCCCGCTAGTCCCGAGTACGGGAAACGGGCGATAGAGTGAAGCCACAACAAGACCCTGAGCAGAAGTGCTTTGGACGGGTCTTACCACAGTCTAAAATGAAAATAAGAAAAGAAAGAAGAGACGAAAATGAGCTTCGACACCTGAAGAAGACGTCCCGTTTAGGTTGACAACGGTGGATGACATTTCGTATAAATCCCCAGAAGACGGGCCCTCTTAAGATGGCTGGTCCTGAGTTGGTCCACAGGCTTCGAATAACAACCTTCTTCGTCCCAGAGACACTTGCTTCGCCTGCTTTCTCTAAGGAAAGTTTTATATCAGTTGATTGAAAGTGTCGAGACTTCTCTTCGCTTTGATCTCGGAATCCATCTTGAGCTCGACCTCACCTACTTTACGGGTATCAGTCATCACCCTCAACCAGCCATGGATTTGACACCCGTCCTGGTCGAGACATGGACTCTCTATGCCATAGGATCTACCATGATCGGGGCAAGAGTATTTGTTCGAACAAGGCTCGTTGGAGTGCAAGGTTACGGGCCTGACGACTACCTCGTCTGGTTTACTTGGGTGAGATGATTCTCCATCTAATCTCCTCGACATCATTGATTTCAACGGCTGACTTATTATATAGCTGGTGTACACCTGCGTCACAATTATCGCGCATGTATTCTTAGTCCAGGCGGGAGGAAAACATACATCGGTGTTGACAAATGCGCAACGAGCGTCATTATCAATGAGCGAGCGGAAAGATTGGCAATACGGCTCGAAGCTCTTCTCCTTTGGCTTCCTTAGCTATGCCACCATTGTTTGGAGTCTGAAGTTCAACATGCTTTTCTTCTATCGTCGACTTGTCAGAGGCCTACACATTGAACGGTTCATCCTGCCGGCTTTTGGATTCGTCACGGCAGCGGGTATTGCTGCTATCCTTACTTTCTGCTTGGCATGTGTTCCATTCACCAAGTTGTGGCAGGTTTATCCAAACCCAGGAGGTTAGTGTTTTGATTTAATGCTCTTGTGTGGAGAAGAAAGACACTGATACGATACAAATGCAGGTCAATGCTATCCACAAAACCCTGTCACATTCTACACCGTCGCAGTCTTAAACGTCCTTACTGATATGTGCATCATTGCTATTCCTATCCCGGTAGGTCTCTCCCTATAAGCCAAGGAGCTCCATTTTCCCTATCTAACACGGATCCCTCTTAGATGGTCTTGCGAGTCCAAGCTAGCATTATGCGCAAAATTGGTCTGATGATGCTTTTCGGTCTCGGCTTGTTCTGTATGATTGCAGCCATCGTTCGTGTCGTTCTCATTTTCAAGCTTCAGCGCCATGGTGACGGAGCCCTATGGTCAATCCGAGAAGATTTTGTCGCCGTCATAGTCGGCCAGGCACCCCTCGTCTACCCAATCACTAAGCCCCGGTTCTGGAAGAGCATCTTCGGTAATGAACGATACGAGGATACAAACGACCACAGTCAACAATACAAAGACAGCAAAGCATCGTCGAAACGAAAGCCCAAGGACCCCTACATGATTACCCAGACAGAACTCACTATGGTGGACAAGTCAGAAAGCACAGAGGAGATCATGAAGGTTGAAGAAGGAAAGATGGACGGTGGCATCCTCGTGCAGAGGACTTACAATGTGGATGTTGAAAGCTCGAGATCGGAGTCGGGTCACGAAGACAAGAAATACCCAGGCCAGGCGTTTTAAGGCATTATTCTTTTCTTTTCTTTTTTCCATTATTATTATCATCATTAACCATATACCTTTAAGGAGTGCCTTTTACTGAGCGTTTTATACGGAGGTTGGTGCTGTTGCGTTATTTCGTGGGAGTCTAGGGAATTTCTTCCGGTCCCCTAATCTCATGAAGTCATATTTCAAAAATATTATTATTCTTGCCTTCAATATAAAGTGAATTTCATTTTCATTTCTTTTTGTTTCGCCTTTTGCACCAAACTGTAAGCGAGGTTGCCCACTGTTTCTTCAGGCACTTCTTCGATATTTTGTGTTCTGGGAAGAGAGAGACCTTAGGTTTGAGACTTATCATGCTGGAGTTCGTACTCCGAGCAACAAGCGGCCCGCAAATGGGGCTGTCTCGTTTCGTTTTATCGACTTTTCTGTCCCAGACCCCTGAGAGCCGCTCAAGCCACCCACGCCCAGTGGATAGAACACCCACCAAACAAGCATCGAATCGCGGATAGAGCTCACTCGCCTCCGTAGCCAGGAGTTGATCTGGCTCTACCAGCCCAGCATGTGAACACATCAAAACGCCCCAACCTCAAACCGTAAACTGTTTTGTTTGTTGGTGGTGCTTATTTTGTTGGCTGGCGCGGGAATATCTCCTCCAACCGACCCCTGTCTTATATAAGCAATATTATAGTTATTTAAACTATGCGGGGAAAAGCTTAAGATGGAAGGAGCAGTCACGGGCCGAAGTTTATCCGTGGGCCTCCTTCCATATGCAGGTTGGCACCTTCTATTTTTGTCCTTGTTGACATCCAACCTTGAATATATCAAAATTCAATTTCAACTTCGAAGACAACAACCAGGTACTCTGTACTCGGTATGTACGTCACTACACGAAGCCAGGCCACGGGTATCGGTCAGGATATCAGGCTATTGGGTTGACGGAGCCTAAACATAAAATGTCTGAGGCATCCGTCTGAACACGGTCCTCTCCTCAGCCCATCGTTTTGGTGGATGCGTCTGGACACGGGATTTATTTGCGGTTCCGGGTAGACATTTCCCCATACCATCATGGCGGACTTCGAGAGTTAGGTAACTGTGTTGTTTTCCATTCACCAATCCTCTTCGATGTCACCGCGGTGCCAAGCAACACCAGTATTCACGAGAATATACACCCAGAGCTTGTGAGTCAATGGCCTGGTTTCGTTCGTTTTGGAGGAATTCAAACTCCTTGTCAGGTCGCTGCAACACTTACCAGGTGTGTAAGATCAGCGTGGGGTGGAATGCATACCTTATGGTAACAGCGTTCTTGCGGTTCCATTAAAGGCTCAACTGGTTCTTTGCCCGGATACGAGGAATGCCACATCAGGGATGGAATCCAAAGAGCCTATGGTCATGAAGAGGTGCATGCTCTCTAATTGAAGCTACTGAACGCTTTGACTCTCATGTACGTATACTCTAGGCTGCTACAGAATAACTCAGCTTTCCGACCTTGATCTCAGCCTCATATTCTCTACCAGGATGAAACACATGAAAACAGGCCCAGGGATGCATTTAAGAAAGCTACGCATTCTAATGAACCTAAAGGGAGCCACCATATTCACCCTCATCATACACAGTAAGATACGGACTTATTGTCTCTAACTCATCACGGAAATAAGTCCAGCTATCACGCTTCTTAAACTGGAGGACTTGAATTATGCCTTCCCGGGAAGGAGGACGCTTGAGCCGCCTGAAAACCCCACTTAAAGCGCAGGTTGTTCTGCGAAGGTTCAAAATACAGATTGGACTGTCAAAACAATACGACAGAGCTTGAACTAAGTAGATCATCATGGCCTAGTGATGGTCTTGGCCAATTCCAGCAATGTCCTAATCCAGCCACAGAACTATGTGTTGGAGAAGAGGTGATAATCCAAGAGTTCTCACTATGTTTCCGATGTGTTCGATTGCTGTTTATACATTACCCCACCCTGTCGGAGTATTTTCGGACGTCAAGTCAAATCTTGATATCGATGCGTAACTAAGGTATGCACCCGTGGAGAACCACCAAAATGATACTTAAGCCAGGTATTGTGCTTCCCCCTTGCCGAGCTTCGAACCTCACGCGGTACAAAAGAAATAACTCTGAGTTACACCTCAGTATACTGTTATATCCGGAGTTCATAGCTTTCTCGAGTTACTGCTGTTTTGGTCGAAAACTGCTACCCGAACAGTAACTGCATTTCTTTGGCTCATCAGTCGCTGATCTCTTGGTCAATGTCAACTCCTGATATTTTCTGTGAAAAGACCATTTAATAGTCACTTATTCTGGATTTACAGGGTTCCTACTCAGTGCTTCGAGCTCTTGAAAACCACAGCGCATTTATTACTCATTGTTCACTGGTGGTTTGCCACCGCAATATCATCGGGCAACCTCGGACATCATCATTAGTTATCTAGTGGAAAGGGGTGAAGAATGCTTGAAAAAAAAAGAGAGAGAGAGAGCAATACATGTGAAAGGAGAAAAAAAGCATCCGGATGCGAGTACGGTCGTTAACTAGTCAAGGAGACCTTCTGGTTTGTGTAGTTTTGTCCCCGATTTGCAACTACCTCATTGTACATCCACTCTCCCACATCTGCGCGCTGGATGGTGTATCCTACAGCCGGCTTATCATCGGTTCCCACCCTGAGAGTCTTCCATCCCTTTCCGGTGGCGATGTTATAATCTCCCGTCAAGAGCGAAGGTCGAACCGACATGACACCGCGGAACACTCGAGAAGTAGGCGTGGGATCAGCAACAGCGCTGAATATAGCCTCCTCCATCTTCAGTTTATCTTTGTGGGGAACAGCGAGGAAATAATGGTATAGCGGCCTAAAGGCCAAAGGAACATCCTCTGTCTTGCTTATTCCGGTGGTTGATACAACAGTGAGGAATGGCTGTGTCTTGGGCATTCCGCTTCCCTGAGAAGACTGCACCTCCTTTACGGCCGAAATGATGTTGTTCGTTGCTTTTTCGCATACATTTGGATCGTTTAGGGTGACAGGCTGCCATATCGAGGCTTGTAGCTTTGGGGTTGATCCAATACCGGAGATGATGGTTGGTACTAGAGCTCCATTATTGCAGGCTGGAGCTACAGTTCGCTTGACTGCTTCAATATCGTTGACATCTCCTTGGATAACGGTGAGCTGGTTGTCGATGACTGACTGCTCGATGCCTTGGACCTTAAGTTGATCTGTCAACTTCGACGGTGTGCGTGCAAGGGCGACGACGTTGTAGCCTCCCTTAAGAGTGTGGGCGAGGCAAGAGTTCGCACAGCCGCCTGTTGAGCCGATGAAAGCAATAGGACTGGCCATTTTGATCTGTAGAATGTGATAAAAAACTGGTAATCAACTGAGAAGAGGTGAGTTGGTATGTGTTATCCTTGTTATCTGGTATCCATTAGTTATTTTATTGCTTATGATGGGGAAACTGAAGTTTTATATAGTTGTAGATTAATTATCCGTTCATTATCGGATGGAGGATCATGTAGCTGCCTGTCAAAGGGCACAGGTACCCAACCATTAACCTGCGATGAAGCAGCCACTGATAACATCATCTCAGGCAGTACACTCCGTCTCCGAGAGAGATGTTTCAAGGCCATCGAAACAGACGGAGTAAGTAGGCGGTGCATCCAGTCGGCGATCCATAATTAGGCGAACGGGCGAATATCAAGCCGAACGGCTGCCTGCTAGCCATGGAGCCGGATAAACTGGGAGCTTAACCGTCAGCCTCATTCTTTGCCGCAGTGATCTCTTGCATCATATAGAACGCCATCCGGCGCTTTGTACGGATCGAGGCGCCAAAATAGTGAAAGCTTGCAATGCTACAATGGCGGTTATCCCAGCAGAGCCACCACGAGAGACGTCAGTCACTGAGACTTAATTTGGCAGCCTAATTTACTGCTACACAGGTGCAATGGCAATAACTCAGGTCATTTATTCTCTGCGTCTCAGCTCTATGCATGCATATCATAGTCTAACTAAGGGAAAGGGAGAACAGCGACTCCTCTCTCACCATTCTTGCCACGGGCCCTGATGCCGAAAATGACATTGTCCTTGCTGAGATCTATCGTTGCCTCCTGAACCATCCCTACGTCCATCTTATGAGTCCAGAACGGAGCAGTGGTGCTACGCCAAACAATCTCATATCCCCCAACCAGGGCATTACCGCCTACCGGAGGATCCCAGGTGAATTTACTGTCGTTTGAAAGCGCTGTGGTATTGACACGCACGTTCCGTGGCATACCTGGCGACATTGCCAGATTCCAAAGGGCGGCCGCATTGACTTTACCGACTCGTGAAATAAAATCAAAGTCGCAGAACTCAGGCAAATCTCCATACTGAATGTCTTTGCCAGTTTTAGGATCTTTGTCAATCCGGATATCCTGATGTTGATGCGCATAGTTCTCGTTTGGCTCTGTGAAACGTGCAGCTGGGTATCCAGCCTCTAGGAATGGACGATGGTCACCCCCACGCAAGTATCTGTCTAGTCTGTAGATGACCGAGACTTCCATATCCGTATGCTTGTTTTCCGCAGTCTCTTTGACGAAGCGTGCCAATTGACGAGCAGGGGTATCATTATCGCCTCCAATCATTATGCGCCTCTCTCGCATTGCCTGATTTTCAACATTCAGAGGTGGTATTCCCTGGGCAAAGAGACGGATAACATGCGGTTCTTTAGTACCATCATCAGCGGTCGATGAGCCGATGATATCGTTTGTAAACATTCCTTCAACATTAGTGGAACTATTGCGGAATGACTGAGCTAGTAAATTAGCACCGTAGAGGCCTTGTTCCTCCCCTGCGACAGCAGCAAAGACTATGGTTGCCTTTGGACGAGGAAGGTCTCGCTGTGACATCACACGGGCAAGCTCGAGAGAGACAGCAACGCCAGAAGCACTAGTTAGCACGGCGTGCCATTAGCTTTTTGATCCTAGAGCTACCGCAGTTGTCCCTGCTATAACATAAAGAGAACCAAAAGGGTATTAAACGTACTCGTCGTTTGCTCCTGGAGCAATACCCTTATAATCGAGCGGATCACTGTTTCTAGAATCATAATGACCTGAAACAACGTAGACTCTCTCCGGGTCTCCCTCTCCCTTCAGCGTGGCGACCACGTCACTGATCCGAACAGGGAAAGGTATACGGTTACCATCTGGCTGCTGGTCATATCCCACTACTTTGACGGTCAAACGGCCATCGCTCGCATTCGCATATCGTTGGAATTCCGACTCGATCCAGTCTCTTGCTGCGCCAATGCCGTACGTTGCGTTGGTTTGTGTAGAGAGTGTGTGGCGGGTGCCGAATGAAACCAATTTTCTGATAGTAGCTTCGATTCTCTTGGGCGAAATCTGAGACAGGATTTTCTTGAGGTCCTTTGAGGGTTCCTGAGGTGTATTCTCACTTCCAAGTTTGACCCTTGGCCATGAAGCTGCAGGACAGGAGAAGAGAGATTGGTGAAACGGGTTCGACATCGTGATAGCGTACGTGGAGCTCTCTTGCGGCAGAGCCAGGACAAACGCATGAAGAGATGCCAGCAGTGCCAGGCCTGACAGCAGGCTACTTATCAAGAAATGCATTGCGAAGAACTTCTCCAGCTATAATAACAGTTAGAAGAACATAGGTACCGTAGAGAAGATCAGGTAAAGAGAGGGAGGGGAAGACGGGGCCGCAATTTATAAAGCAGTCATACCTTAACCCAGGATACGGCATTGTATAAGCTCGCACCGCTTGGAGCCGAAGGAACCGCTGGACTGTGACTCCATGCAAGGAATCTCTGCCTTGGTTCAGGTGTGGCACCATCTCAAGGCGTCGGTTAAGTTGCCGTTAGGTTATTTCGTTGAACACTCTGCCCTTGCAGGCAATTATTATATGTAGCTGGCAAAGCGAGACGGTATATGTAAATCAATGTTTCCCCGGCCAAGGGCCAGGAAGGCCGGCGCCCTATACCCAATCAGGCAGGAGAATGGGCTGTTTGCATGAATAATACGACAAATAAGAGATTTGAAGCTCTCGGTTTCAAGGGTTGGGATGGATAGCTGCCAAATCCTCGATGGTGTTGCTTTTGATAACGAGGATTCGGGGTAAAAGTGGAGCGCCGAGGTTAATTCAGTCTCTGTCGACAGGGCAAAGGGGGTATACCGGTAAAGATGAATATATTAATCTTTTGAATATATCGCGTAATAATATACTAATGAAGATGATGTCTGTCAAACCCGATATAGAAAATCGCAAGTCGCATTAGCATCATTTTGATACTTGACAGTAGGCAAAACGAAATATAATGGCCATCTGAATTTGACCTGCCTGGAGATATAATATTTTGCGACACTACTATCGTTTTAGCCCAGCAGTATTTTAAAAAGAGGGAGGGGGAAGAGAGATGACAGAGATAACGTATTTAGTCTTATTAGTATTTTCTTGATATATATTTAACATGATATTATACTGACCGCAAGATCGGGCTCTTTTTACCCAGAAGACAGCCTCTAAAACAAAGACGGATGAGTGTATAAAACAGAGCGGCCCTGATGTGTAGAAATAATAGCCGAACCACTGGCACAGGCACTGTTCCTCCAGAGGAAAGAAGTCGAATAGACAAGGAAGGGGGGGGGGGGGGGGGGGGGGGTCCCTAAATTCGTCTGTTAGTATCAAATAGTGAATGTTTTTGTGA